GTTTTTTTTTTTTTTTTTTTTTTTTTTTTTTTTTTTTTTTTTTTTTTTTTTTTTTTTTGACCGAATGTTCTCAGTAAATCTTGATATTTAAGGGATCACTCCATGTGACTAATGTGCGTAAACCCATCAAGCAATTGGGTAATTTGCCATTCATAAATTCCATAAGGTAGCCGCGCGATGGCAATGAATCAGGTGAGAGAACCTTACGATTTACATACGAAGATAATATAACATGTGATTTGTACTTCACCTTAAAATATTGTGTTTTACATTTGTAAATCTAATGAACAATCTTACATATCTTTTCACATGCGTATTTTTTGTTTAAAAATGAGTTTAGATTAGATATTGTCATCGATGATAGACTATCGTGATTGTGCTAAAGGTTTCAGCTATACCATTTTCAAATATTCTTTCTTAAGAAAATCGCCACATATTTCAAGCAAAACTATTAGCATTCGGCAAAATTTTATAATTATTCCAAACTGTTTAACATAATTCTAACGGCTGATATTAGTTGCCAGTGAATGTATTTGCAAAATACCAGATGACAATCACAGCCTTCCATACAAACAAGAGCATTCCATTCACAAAATACTGGATACTACGCATGTATTGCCAGAAAAAAACGCCATAGGGTTGTACCAGTTGGAAATATCCGCAACTGTACAAAGATCGCTGTATGAACCGAAGACCTTGCGCAGCCGAGGACTCCACCCCGACCCCTTCCTGGCTGCTGGAATATCCTCGCCGGGGACTTAGCGAACGAACATCCTAGACTGCCTTATAAAGCTAGCAGGCCTCCCTTCCTGCAGGACCCTTCCCAGCCACCGCGTATCCTCCTCGTCTGCTTCAACCGTTACATCATTCTGTACTTTTAAAGGTGCAAATTGGGTCTCCCTGATGGCGAAGGGAAGGGCGATTGGGAAGGTGGCGGACCTCTGACGATCCTCTGCAGCTGAGTTTAGTGTTATCCCTGGAACTGTAACAATATTATTAAGATTTCATGTCACAGGAATACTGAAAAAAGATCTCGGACGCACAAGCAGCCCTGTATATAAATTGCACATCGGAAATGATAATTCAACGACAGAAGTCTAATTTGGTGGTGTATGGCTCCACAGGCGCAACCTATGAATGTAATAAGAATTTGTAATAGAATGCATGTGTACATAATCATCTACACAGCATGAAATATATAAGAAATGTATACTTGCTGTGAAGAGCCACAGCGGTTCACGTTGAACCGCCATTGATGATAATACTACGTACGTGCATCATGCATTTTATGTATGAAGCATTTTCAAGAGTGATTTTGATTGGGAGTGATGTCACAACCTACATATTCTTGATAATGTCGATTTTTGAAAGGAAAATATTATTTTGGGGTTGGCCTTTGGTATCTTAATTTTTCAAGACAAAGTATTAGGTTGATATTTAATCAGTTTTTGGTAAATAGGGACAACTGGATGATAGGGTAGCGATATGACAAGTCAATGCATCGATACTTGTTTCATTACAAATTCGAAAAATATATTGCCATTTGGACCATTTCCTTCTTGACAGACATCGACAGTCAAAAAAAAAAAAAAAAAAAAGACTCGTTTCCACGTAAAAAAAAAAAAAATACTGAAACTCCTAAATCTCTTGAATTATGAAAAGATATTTTGCCGGTTTTCCGAAACCAACATTATCTAATTTATTAACAGAATTTTACATCCACTTCGTTTATGTGGGTCTTGTCGTCCTTCCAAACTTACGGAATTTTCCAGAAACTAGCCTAAGGCCCGTACTTTTAAAACCTTTCGCCAGTGCTGGCGTTCGCCTGGCGAAGCTACGCCAGACGAACCTCTGAGTGAGGGAGGCCTTACTTTTAAAACCAACGTTCGCCAGGGCGGGCGAAGGGATCGCCAGGCGCTAACATCTTTGCATTCACGCTAAATCTAGCGCAAATTTTGTTACATTTGCAGTGCACATAAATAACCTAAACTTTAATTATTAACCTCGAGAGAAGACGAAAAATGTTTATACTATAAACAAAGGAGTTAAAAATTCAAACTTTATTGCTTATAACAAAGAAGTTGAAAATAACTTTATACTATAAAAAAATTAAACTTTATACTTTATGCTATAACTACACTTTAATACTATAACAAGGTAACTTTATGGCCCGTACTTTTAAAACCTTTTGCTTTTTTCTCGCGTTTTTTTTCATTCGCCGAAGCGCTAGATTTAGCAGGAATCCAAGATGTTAGCGCCTGGCGATCCTTTCGTTCGCCAGGCCTGGCGAACACCTGCCTTGGTTTTAAAAATAAGGCCTCCCTCACTCAGATGTTCGCCAGGCGAACGCCAGCATTGGCGAAAGGTTTTAAAAAGTACTTTAAACTATATTATATCAACTTTATACTTTCATACAAAAAATAACTTTATACTTTAAACAAAAGAGTTTCAAAATTACCATTTTACTATTCCTAACTGATATAAGATATTGAACTGTAGGCCTACAAGGGTATCATTAGACACGCTCATTATAGGGCGGTGGAGCACTACAGCTATGTTTCTATAGCCAAAAGTAAACATGCCGCCATAAAAAACACTTCTGGTAACATTTGTGAAAAGAACATTACCCTTACAACCAAAATAACAACAACCTAAATCAAAATAAGTCATCTCGGGGGTGGGGGGGTAGGGGTAGGGGGTAGGAATACAGCTGATGTCTTGAGCTCTCGACTGGAACATCGAAGGTCTTGAAAAAAAATACGTATATACGTTATTTCATAATAATTATGATTTTAAGATATTTTAGAATTTCAATGTGATTCCTACATCGTATCATACACAAATATGTTACTAATTTATAATTTGAAAGCAAGAAAATGGTATTCAACAAGCTCTCGCGCCTTTGCTTCGCCAGGCTGTTCCAATATGATCTTTTCGCCCAGCCCTGGCGAACGTTCGCCAGGCATGATTTTAATAGTACGAAATTCCCGATCGCCCGGCGAAGCCTTTCGCCAGCACTAGCGAAAGGTTTTAAAAGTACGGGCCTAAGGATGAACATGCTTATTATAATTATTATGTTCTATCTCATTTTTTATGCATAGAGTAATAAATCATAATACTACTTACATACTTCGCGTTACTATTGACAGAAAAATATGCAATTATTTTGATATTGAACCGCAACCGCCCATTGCGACCTCGCCATTCTTGCTCCGTGCGAACTCTCGTGTTTCCCTGAGATCTAACGACCAGACACGCATGGCAGGTACTAATCCCTCTCCTTGAAGGAGTGTTGGGAGTTGCTAATAAACAAGAGGGGTACATACACACGCATATGCAGTCTACACACACACACAAGCTACACAAAACACACCACCACACATGCAAACACACGCACACACACAAGCGCGGCATATATATATATATATATAGTATATATATATATATATATATATATATATATATATATATATGTGTGTGTGTGTGTGTGTGTGGTGTGTGTGTGTGTTGTGTGTGTGTGTGTGTGTTTTTGTCTGTATGTGGTGTTATATTTATATGTTATATACAATATATAATATATATATTAAATATAATATAATATATTATATAATATATATATATATATATATATATATATTATATATATACATGTAAATACACACACATGTATATGTATATATATAATAGATAGATAGATAGATAGATATAGATATGATATATATATGTATATATTAGATAGATAGATAGATATATATATATATATATGGATATATATATATATATTAATATATATATATATGTGGTGTGTGTGTGTGTGTGTGTGTGTGTGTGTGTGTGTGTGGTGTGTGTGTGGTGGTGGTCTGTATTCATATATATGTATATCATTTACATATTGTATATATACATATATATAAATATCCGTATAATGCATATATATATATATATATATATATATATATATAATATATATATATATATATAATATATATATCATATATATATATATAGTATATAATATATATATATACATATGCATTTATATATGTATAATATATTATATCTACATATATATATATCAATAGTATAATATACATATATATATATATATATATATATGTATTATATGTATATATATATATATATATATATATATATATATATATATATATATATATATATATATATATATGTACATATATGTACATATATATATATGTATGTATATATATATATATATATATATATATATATATATATATATATATATATATATACATACTATATATAAATATACAAATATATATATATACATATATATAAATATACATATATAATATATAATATATATATAATATATATATATTAATATAATATATTATGTATTATTTGTGTAATTATATACATGTATGTATGTGTGTGTGCCTGTGTGTGGTGTATGTGGTCACACATGTGTGTGCCTGTGTGCATGTGTGTCTTCAATAATTATTCATATTTGTGATCGCACACAAGGCTTCAAACGCAAATTAATTAGAACTCTTTTTAGAAAGTGTCTAAATAATTTCTGATTGTTAGAAGACTTTGTACCAGTTTTTTAAGTGTGACGATATTTAAGTCATTCTAACTAAGCAAAAACTTGGCGTGTTTCCATGACGAAGCCTATATATAGAGTAACCTCAGCGTGACCTCATATGACCTGAAATGTGTATCTTCATCAGCCAGATGTTCCTTCCATCTGTTCTTTCTATTTAACACCACACGACATGTATTCACTTTAAAAACAATCGTACCTATATATATCTTTCAAATACATATACAGGATTCTTTAAATCCTGATAAAAGAAAAATAAATCAGATTTTAGTTAAAAACATAGAGAAAACTAGACCTTGCCCAGCTGTGACCTGCCCAGCCGCGTCGGGATATAGGTCTCTCAACGAGGGACGAGGACTTAATGAGGGGGGAAGGGGGGCAGAACATGAGGTGCTTGACCTCTCCTGGCAGTAGGTTGTGGTCAAGCGCCACGGAAGGTCCCCTGCAGAGCCGACATGAGACAGAGATCTTCACGAGTGCAAAATAACCGTGTCTTTCCTACATGGGGTACAGACTTCTCTCCTCCAAGGTTGTCCCATAGCTGGCGTTAACGTGTCCCCAAGAAAAGTACAAAACGAAATTCAACTGAAATAGACATACTGAATATTTTTTTTATCGAAATAGTGAGAAACACCGCATAAAACCTGAACGAAAAAAGTGAATAACACCACATTAAAAACTTTACGAAATAGAGAGAAACATCACATATGAAACGTTAACGAAATAGTGAGAAATACCAGTTATCAAGCTTTAACGAAAGAGAGGGAGAGAGAGAGAAAGAAAAATATGAACGACTCCAGAACGACGAAGACCCTACCTCACCTCACAAACATGGACGAGGGAGAAGCCACAATGCCTCCAGTACAGACCAACGCCTCCCGCCTGTCTCACGAAACCGTAATACCCCTTTCAGCGTCCACGGTTGAAGGCAGCTGGGTGACGGTGGTGGAGGTAGCAGCTTTTTTGGTGGTGGTGGTGACTCTGGCGGCCGTGATTCTGACGTGGGCGGTGGTGGTGATGAGGAAAAAGAAGGATGGCTTGTAAGTATGGTTGTTGCGGGGGCGGGTTGTATTTCTGGGAGCGGTTGTTGTTTGGGGGTTAGATTTTACCGGATTTTTCTTACTGTAGCATCATAGTTATTCTTATTATTACTGGTATTGATCTTAATGATATAATTGTTATTGTCAACAGTAGTAGTGCTAGTAATATCTTTATTGGATATGTATTGTTATTGTCAATAGTAGTAGTGCTAGTAATATCTTTATAATTATTGTTTTTAATACAGTCATTATTATGATTATTGTTACTGTTATGATTGCTATTATTATTATATTACTGATATCGTTATCATTATTATTTTTTATTTTTATTATATTTCTTTTATTATCTTTAATGATATCATTATTATTATCATTACAACTATTATCATTATTGTTTATTATCATTACTATTATCATTATCAGTGTATATTGTGTCACTTTCTGTATTCAATTTTTCCCTTTCCATTTCCATTTTTTTCTTTTTTCTTTTATCTCTTTGTTATTATATTCATTATTTCTCTAAAATTTATATCATTACTGTCATTATTGCCATTGTTATTATTTTTTGTTATTTCATTACTGTTGTTATTGTGTTTAATAATGTTATTGCTATTATTCTGCTATTATTACCGTTAGCATCATTATAATTATTACTATAAACCGATTTAGTTATAATTATGATTTATCATCGCCTTCATCAATATCATCATTTATCATTATCGTTATGGTAATGATGAGGATTATTTCAGTTACCCCTTTAAAAACTTACAATTTCATTTATAATCATATTCACTTAGAGTTGTTGCTGTGAATATTACTAGCGTTATTATCATCATTATTATTTTCATATTTTTTTATGTTATTGTCACTGTCATCAGTCATCAATTGTCACTATTATAATCATTTATTGTTATCATGGTTATTATTTGAATTACTGTTATGATTATTGATATCACTCTTCTTATTACAAGATCATCACATCATTATCATCATATCATCATCATCATCATCATCATCATCATCATCATCATCATTATCATCATTATCCATTCCATCCTCACCAATATCTTTTAATCACATTCGTCATCTTTTATCATTATCATTTTCTCTATAGTTTTTATCATTATCATTTTTATTATGATATTTATTATTTTCATCATCATTTACATCAATCATCGTAATTGTTATTATTTTTTTTCTGTTTATATTTTATATTGTTTTGTTATTTATTGTGCTGTTTCTTTATTATTACCATTTGTATCATTATTCACATCATCATCATTTAGTATCATTATCATTACCATTCTTGTTGTTGCTATTGTAATTTTTACTATTATTATCATCCTTTTATTACTATCATTACGAATATCATTATTTTTTATTTTTATCATTGCTGTTATTAATACTACTATCATCATTGTTATTGGAATTATTATCAGTTTTGTTATTATCATCATCATTGCTATCATCATTACCATCGTCATTATGATCGCCGTCATTATCATTATCACTGTCATTATCAGTGGGGCCATTTTTAGTATCCCCATCAATCACCATCGTCATCATCATTGCCATTATCCATTATCATCATCATCATCATTCATCATCATATCATTATGAGCATTATTATCATAATCATAATCAACCATTATCATCATCACCATTGTCATCATCACCATTAACCGGCAGCACCATCATCATCATCACCATCCCCATCTACATTTTATTATCATTGTTATTATTATTATTGTTATATTATTATTAATTTTATCATTAGTAGTAGTTGTAGCAAGCAATATGACCTTCGAACCAACCACAACCACAACACCTCCCCACACCACCACCAACCACCACCACCACACTCCCCATACCCCCCCCATCCCCTACCCCACCGCAACCACCTCCCCCTCCCCTCCTCCCCCGTCCACCACCACCAACGCACTAACCCCTCCCCCTCTCTCCCCTTCTCTCTCTCTCTCAGGTCCCACAGAAGGTCCTCCTCCACCTTCTCCACCTTCTCCACCTTCTCCACCACCTCCTCCTCCACCTCCCCCTCGGAAACGGCGGGGCTACTCGAGGGTTTGCGAGAAACCCCGAGATCGTATGGCAGATTCGCCACTCTAACGGAAAACGAGAAACTGTACCTCTTGTGCAACTTGAAAGAATTTTACTAATTCTTTCTTTGGTTGGAATAATGCCTCATGGGTTTCGTGTCTGTATTTTTTAATGTTATTATTATTGAATATTATTATTATTATTATTATTATTAATTATTATTATTATTATTATATTATTATTATTATTATTATTATTATTATTATTATTCTCATTATTATCATTATTGTTATTATCATTGCTATTAATCATTATGTTGATTATTATCATTATCATTATTATTATTGTTACTGTTATCATTATCAGTATTATAGATCTTATTATTTATATTATCATAGTTTTCCTCCTTCTGCTAATCATCATCATTATTATCACTATATTACTATATTTTTCTTTTTATCTTTTTATTATTATTGTTATTAGTATCATTATTATTATTATTATTATTATTATTATTATTATTATTATTATTATTATTATTATTATTTGCCTATCATATTTAGTATTATCATCAATATCATTATCATTATCATAATCATCCTTGTCATTATCATTTTTACTAGCACTATACCATTATATTTTTATTGTTATTGTTATTATTATTATATTATCATTATTATCATCATTACCATTATTATTATTACTTTTGTTATTATCATTATTATTAATATCATTATTTTTATTATCATTATTATTATCATTATTATCATTATCATTATTATTACCATTATAATTAGTTTTGTATTCTTATTATTAGTAGTGTATATCATCATCATCATCATCATCATCATCATCTTTAAATTGCAAGGAGAATATTCATCATGCAACATAAAACAAACATATCAATATAATTATTATTGATCTCCAATAATTGCATTGAATATAATTTATACTTTGTTTTTCACATTACTTAACCCGTCACCAGATATGATATCAGTGTCTGTCACACATTTTATCTGAATCTTAAGATGAAAACATATATCTGTACTTGATTTAAGTTAAAACACTCATTTGTATATATATAACCTATGTGAAAAATAATCTCAAAAAAATAATAAAATGTTTTAGAAAAATGATAATATTTTTTCTTGGCCCAAAAACTTCACTCGTCTCTTTCTAAATGCAATTAAATATGTATTGCCTTTTCCCGGAAATTCAACATATAAATGTTTTCTGGCTTGTAGCAGTTAATTACTGAAGGACTTGTTGTGTGTGAGATATGAAAATGTATGTATTAATGTAATAAACGGGTATGTGCATCTAATCTTTTGTAATTCATTTTCGTATCAAGTGATCGCTGAAATTCAGGTAATGATGTTTGGTGTTCTGGATTACAAACGGTGGATGAAATAAATAGAAAAAAAACTAATACGAAATGCAAGTATGTGTTAAATGTTTAACGTGTGTGTGAATATGTACGTGTGTTTGTGCACGTATGTCTGAATATGTGCGTGTGTGTATGTGTATCGCATTAATCAGAGAGTTCCAAGAGAATTTTCAAACACCCATTCAATCCTATAGTGTAAAGCATATATATATTATATTATCATATTATATTATTATAGCATATTATATTATTATATTATTATATAATTAGCATATTCATATTATAGCTACCAACGCTATAAATTTATACGAGATCTTTGAAAATTAACCCAGAGAGTGAAAAAATGAAATGTACTAATCACGCGGGTAGTCTTGGGTGAAATTTTGGGCCTGTTAAGTTCACCCGATTTCGCGCTCAAAACCAGCACTCAATGTCACGGTATATTCTTCATACGAATCTACTTATTTATTGTGATGATATGAATTCATCTTTTTGACACACACACAAACATATAGATACATACACATGCACATACATACACACGCGCAAACACACATACACATGCACACACACGCACGCACACACACACACACACACACACACACACACACACACACACACACACACACACACACACACACACACACACACACACACACACACACACACACACACACACATATGTGTGTGTGTGTGTGTTTGTGTCAGTTCAGGTTATCTTTGATTTATATTGTGACGTGTGCTGTGATGCTTTTAGTCGGATTTCACGTATGTCTTAGTAGAATGAAATAATACCATTATACAATTCTCATCTATGTTTATTTTACGACTTTAGTGTAGTATATTTAAGCTGCAGCATGAGTAAGTATAAGATTGAAACTAAGTTAAATATACGATATATACCTACAGATAACCGCTGATAATCACCGCCTGTAAAATCAATCCAAATCGCCGGGATAAACCTGCATCAAAAATACTTTAGTTATCGCTCAGTTGACAGGCGACCATTTTCTATTTTTCCCTAACACCGTTTTCTATATCACCTACCATACCCGTGTGACGTCAAAGTCACTTTAATTCAAACCTGCGCAGGTACCTCAATTAACGAGACCTTACTTTCATAGACCTTGCATTTATGAGCATTGAAATATTTAGTTTGTTACTCTTCATAATCGCATATAATCTCCACAGACACAACGCGATAAGATATCTTTGAGTTACCCCTTTCCCCGTCGACTAATTTTCATCGAATAGGATTTTTTATGGTATTAAGCGATGGTTTGTGCATTCGTGTCGGTAAGTGCAGTGGCTATGACGGCCGCTCGTGTGGGAGGAATTTCCAACTAGCTATTTTTTTGAAATTCGGCTATAAAGTTTATCTTGTACGTGCTCCATACATAAATTGTTTCATAAAGCCTTATGGTGTATCCGCGAATACAGAACTTACCGAGGGTTACTACAACTCACTAATTATAATATCAAAGCGAGTGCATTCTTAAGAAGAAAGTATGGCTAACTTACACACTGAACTGAAAATCCTGAAAATACTCCAAAAAATAGTGCTTAAAGCAGGATAAATTTTCTATCTTTTGCTGGTGAGTAATTCAAGTTTGAATTGTTTTTTTTCCCTCGAATTCCAAAGGATCTCATTTTTTTCTAAATCACTATCTGGATAAGATTATTATTTAGGTTGTGAATTTATCATAAATCATCGCTCTTGCAGGCCTTCGATGTAACTTTTTCAGTAACGGCGTCGTTATTATCATATTTTGTTTGTCTTTTAATTTGCTATTTACCCCCGGATTGTCGTGCCTTCGACTATTTTTTATTAAAAACATAATAAAGTTATCAAGCAAAAGAAGTTTCATTTACTAGGATTCCGGGGCTTTCCTGTGTAATTCGTTTTTGTATCACGTTCAGCAGAATTTTTTTCTCTCTCTCCCTCTTCACCGTTCTGTCTCATTCCCTCTCATATTCTCCCTTTTCTCTTCTCTCTTTCCTCTTTGTTCTCTCCACACCTTCCATTCTCCACTTTCCTTTCTCTCTTCCCTCTTCGTTCCCTCCATCTTCCCTTTTCCCCTTTTCCCTGTTTATCCTCTTCTATTTCCTCTCCAGCTTTTTTTATTCTATTTCCTCTCTACCTTTCTCTCCAGGTAATTAAGTACCGAGTATGATGTATATATTCTAAATTATTATCTTTACTGCTGAATATACAGTATAAATATCAGTAACAATACTATAAGGACAATGGTAAACCGAAGAATAATGAAAACAATAGTAATAAAAAGTAATTATCAAATTTTATAATCAAACTTCAATAATGAGGAATATCTCAAAAAAGCCTGATAAATCTAACGTTTTATTTTCAAAGTCTGCACAATCCTCAACAACAACAACAACAACACGTCATACAGCTATATATATTTTATTTGCCTCATTCTGCAAATCTCAGTAATAAACCTTCTCCTGCTACAAGTTTTACCTCGTTTAAGTTTACTTCGGACCTGAAAAGAAATAGACTCTTGTTATAGCATTATGTGTGATGCTCGTATTCTTTACTTAAAATAGATGTAGGGATTTCAAAGTACTACCATGTTTACCTATTAAAATATGTTAATGGGCATGAGAATTCTTTTTTGTATCCTTATTAACTCTCGTCCAAATTTTGATAGAAAAAGTACACACTTTTTACCACACCGTTTGTAAATGTAAAGTTAAGGGAAAAGGTTGAATGTATATGAAACGGTAACCTCATGTATCCTACGCAACATATATATATGTTGCATAGGATTCTCTCTATCTCTTCTTTCTATTTTTCTCTTCTTTTTCTCTTTCTCTTCTCTCTCTTCTCTCTCTCTCTCTCTCTCTCTCCTCTTCTCACTCTATTTCTTATACCTTAGGCTCCTAATCCCACACTCCTTATGACGTTAAATTTCGTCGCTGAAGTCATCAATCAATTATTTTTCACGATCAAAATTTACTTAATGCAAAGGGGGAATTATCCACTTATAAATCCAATCCACGACCTGGCAGCTCACCCCGGGACGGTCGCCTCCGCCGCGTCCGTGACGGAGCGCAGGACGACCTCGGCCATCGGCGGAAGCTCCATGTTGGCGTGGTGGTGGAGGTCGACCTCCAGCTCCTCCTCCGACGTGTTGATCACCAGCAGGTAGCTCTCGTAGCCTTCGAGGTATCTGGAAGGAGGGGAAGAAATCGGAGGTAAGGTTGTAGATGTCTGAAGGCAGGTAGATAACGATAGGTATCCATCCGCGGAGCTAAAATTGAAGACGAGGAAATAAAACTAAATCGATTATCAAGTTATATATAAAAAAAAGGGGGAAGGGACAGGGGGAATCCACGAGAAAGCCGTATAATATAACGTTTGTTGTTGTTGATGTTATTGTTGTTGTTGCTTGTTATTATTATTGTTGTTGCTATTGTTATTGTTTCTGTTATTGTTATTGTTGCTGTTGTTATTGTTGTTGTTGTGTTATTATTGTTGTTGTGCTATTGTTATTGTTTCTGTTATTGTTGTTATTGTTTGTTGTTATTGTTTTGTTATTGTTTTGTTGCTGCTGTTGCTGTTATTGTCGCTGTTGCTGTTGTCGTTTTACCAAAGCTTACCGCAAAACCGAGAATATTTCCCTGGTGACCACGGGGTACGCAGTCCGTCCTCCTGCAAAAGGTCCGCGAGAGCGAGCTCCTTGTAGACCTTCAGGTGGCTCTTCTCCGCTCGCAGCTGAGCCTGGACGTTGAGGGTCTTGTAGTTCTTGTTCACGGGCAGCCACGTACTGTTCCCTCGCGTAAAACCTGGAAATAATCGGTAGATGGTCAACAACAATAACAACAACAATAACAACAAAAACAACAATAACAATAACAACAACAACAACAATAACAACAACAACAATAGCAACAACAATTACGGTCTTGCTACTTTACTCTATATTACGACGGTTTATTCCGTGATAAATTAAGTAAATTTAAAGAAATGATATAAGAAAGAAGGCAGACTGAGAGGTATGCAGACTGATTTTTTTTTATAATAAATAAATATCTTTACCAGCAAAGGCTGTGTTGTCCCACTGCATGGGCGTCCTCGCAGGATCTCTGCTGTGCTCCAAGTACTTTTCACGCCCGTAGTGTCGCCCTTGGGGATCCTGCGTCTCCTCCCACGACACGGGGGCGTCTACCATACCTGAGAAACAGATACGGGCGGTTTTAGTATAATATATTCATCCAAAACGAAGAGCAGATCGCGGCCGATGAGGACAATAAACCCTTTTTGATCCTAACTCATAGGCAAGTATAGATAATAATATGCTATTTTATCATAAGTATAATATCATAATAATAATCATATGACAAAGAAGAAGAACAACTGAAGTGCAAACTTGAACTGTTTACATATATATCTTTATTTTTCCATAAAATATTACACTAGGATCAGGGCAGCCGATCTTAATCCCATTTTAATTCTTGTGGTTCTTTAAAGCGAATCCAATCCAACAGAGGAAATAAACTTGTTAAAAATATAATTTGAGTCATATTAGCCATATCGTTTTTATACACCTCGCTGCATGACTGAATGCTTTGTACACATAATGGATATTTTCGTCAAAATCTATGGATTTATGTTTATATATCTAAGATGCATGTCCTTATTTATCTAATACACACACACGAACACGCACACGCACACACACACACACACACACACACACACACACACACACACACACACACACACACACACACACACACCACACACACCACACACACACACACACACAAGAGGGAAAGAAAAGAGAGAGAGAAGGGGGGGGAGGTGGAGAGAGAGAGAAAGGAAGAGAAGTGAAAAAGAGTAAAAAGGAGAAAAAGAGAAAAACATGGAAAGAGAGTGAGAAAGCGAAAGGGGACTTCGGGCCAGCGTCCTCACCGATCTCCTCCCCGTAGTAGGTGACGGGCGTCCCCGGCAGCAGAAGGACCAGCATGTTGAGGGCGTCGACCAGGTCCTCGCCGAAGCGGGACCCCACGCGCCCGTTGTCATGGTTACCGAGCTGGGCAAAAATAAATAAACAGATGAAAGAATAAGTAAATAAATAAATAGAATCACGATGCTGATGAATAGGAGGAAATTGGCGGTGGTGGTGGTAATCCGTAGAATATTGATAAAATCCGTAGAATTGTAATAAAAGAGACAATGATATCCTGTATCCTCCATCAACACTGAAACAGATAAAGCCTAAAAGATCCACGCATCGCGATTGCAATAAAACTCATCAACGTGGTCGGATCACTTTCCCGCCCACGGTTATTACTGAAACCTGTAGATTTTGTTTTACTTTTTCATATAAAAATAGGCCCACAAACAAGCGAAGCCAGTTAGACTTTTTTCCATCATACCAAACTGATTGCACGCTACCAAAAGCGTTTCCGAATCTATTTCAGAAATGCTGATTGAAACATGAAATCCATACAAAAGTTCCGAATATTCCTGTATCTACAACCCCGGCAGGCCATTTCCCTTCCTACAGGCCGATTACCCTCCGACAAGTATACGTTTACAATGGGAATTCACACAGATTTATACATTTTTCTGAAGTAAATCTGAGGACGCTTTCGCCATTTGAAAACGAATATCTGGATGTATGAAACCTTTTACACTGAGGTGGCGGGATACATGCACATCTTGATGTGATAGAAACAACGAAGGGAAGAACTAGAAAACACATGAGTATGCCTAAGGCCTTTTCGCTATTGCCCTGATGAAACAATAACGAAAAGGCCTTTGGCATATTCGTGTTTTCTTGTTCTTCCCTTCGTTGTTCCTGTTGCAATTTGTTCGATTTGTGCAATTCGTTAAAGCTGCATTACATTTCGATTCTCGTGAAGACTGCCCTCCATTTGAGCTCAAACGTTTCCCGTGAAACACAACGCCAACGTTTCCCGAGACACCCACCACCCAGTTGGGCCACTTGCCCTCCGGCATGTTGTCCATCCACAGGTCGAGGGCGTCCTTGAGGGCGGCGCCGCTCAGGTCGCTCCGGCTGCGGAAGCTGTCGATCAGCAGGAAGTTGAAGGGGAAGTCCGCCAGGGGGACGCTGTCGCTGCCGTAGTACTTCATGACCTCGCCGATGTCGCCGTCCCACATCTCGACCATCATCAGCCTGGGGGGGGTTTGTTGAGAGGCCTCTTATAGATCATTTAAGAGTGTGGGGAATTGAAGCGATGTTCTTAAGCAATATATATATATATATAATATATATATATATATATATATATATATATATATATATATATATATATAATATATATATATATATATATATATATCATATACATATCAATCTATCTATCTATCTATCTATATGCATACAAATATATACATATATACATATGTATATATATTGTATGTATGTATGCATAATATTCACAATCATATTTCATTATCATTACCTTCCTACTCACCACCATCGCAAAAATTCAACATCCCTTTCATAATCATTCTTCTCCATTCTCATTATCCTCACAAAAACCACCATCACATCCACTACCATTCTCCCCACTATCACGATCCTCTCAAGAAAACCACCCCTACCATCAACACCACCGCCATCACCACCACCCTCATCATGCACCCACTTTTCAGGGTATTGGTCCATGACGTCCCTCCACTCCGCGACCACTTCGAAGGTCTCTGGCTGGTTGACGGTGAAGGGGTGGCTGAGGAAGCCGTAGTCCAGGCTGTCTTCCACGGCCGAGTCCTTCGCGACCGGTTCGTCTTGGCTCAAGTCTTGCGTGGGGTGAAGAAAGGGAGAGAAAAAGGAAAGTGTTATGAGGTTAAGTCTTGCGTGGGGTGAAGAAGGGGAGAGAAAAAGGAAAGTGTTATGAGGTTAAGTCTTGCGTGGGGTGAAGAAAGGGAGAGAAAAAGGAAAGAGTGTTATGAGGTTAAGTCTTGCGTGGGGTGAAGAAAGGGAGAGAAAAAGGAAAGAGTGTTATGAGGTTAAGTCTTGCATGGGGTGAAGAAAGGGAGAAAAAAAAGGAAGATTGTTGTGAGGTTAAGTCTTGCGTGGGGTGAAGAAAGGGAGAGAAAAAGGAAAGTGTTATGAGGTTAAGTCTTGCGTGGGGTGAAGAAAGGGAGAGAAAAAGGAAAGTGTTATGAGGTTAAGTCTTGCGTGGGGTGAAGAAAGGGAGAGAAAAAGGAAGATTGTTGTGAGGTTAAGTCTTGCGTGGGGTGAAGAAAGGGAGAGAAAAAGGAAAGAGTGTTATGAGGTTAAGTCTTGCGTGGGGTGGAAGTGTTATGAGGTTAAGTCTTGCGTGGGGTGAAGAAAGGGAGAGAAAAAGGAAAGTGTTATGAGGTTAAGTCTTGCGTGGGGTGAAGAAAGGGAGAGAAAAGGAAAGTGTTATGAGGTTAAGTCTTGCGTGGGGTGAAGAAAGGGAGAGAAAAAAGGAAAGAGTGTTATGAGGTTAAGTCTTGCGTGGGGTGAAGAAAGGGAGAGAAAAAGGAAAGTGTTATGAGGTTAAGTCTTGCGTGGGGTGAAGAAAGGGAGAGAAAGGAAAGAGTGTTATGAGGTTAAGTGCGTGGGTGAAGTCTTGCGTGGGTGAAGAAAGAGAAAAAGAAGAAAGGTTAAGAAGAAAGGAGAGAAAAAGTTGTTTGAGGTTAAGTCTTGCGTGGGGTGAAGAAGGGAAGAAAAAGGAAAGTGTTATGAGGTTAAGTCTTGCGTGGGGTGAAGAAAGGGAGAGAAAAAGGAAAGTGTTATGAGGTTAAGTCTTGCGTGGGGTGAAGAAGGGGAGAGAAAAAGGAAGTGTGTTATGAGGTTAAGTCTTGCGTGGGGTGAAGAAAGGAGAGAAAGGAAAGATGAGGTTAAAAGAAGGGGAAGAAAAAGGAAAGTGTTATGAGGTTAAGTCTTGCGTGGGGTGAAGAAAGGGGAGAGAAAAAGGAAAGGAAGTCTTGCGTGGGGTGAAGAAAGGGAGAGAAAAAGGATTGTTATGAGGTTAAGTCTTGCGTGGGGTGAAGAAAGGGAGAGAAAAAGGAAAATGAGGTTAAGTCTTGCGTGGGTGAAGTGTTAAAGTCTTGCGTGGGGTGAAGAAAGGGAGAGAAAAAGGAAAGAGTGTTATGAGGTTAAGTCTTGCGTGGGGTGAAGAAAGGGAGAGAAAAAGGAAGAGAGTTATGAGGTTAAGTCTTGCGTGGGGAAGAAAGGGAGAGAAAAGGAAAGTGTTATGA